CACTTCCCTGGGACATGAATGGAGGGTGATGCAATCTGCCGGCCTCTTGCTGCAGCCGGAAGGCTGTGTGTGTACTTGGGAGGAGGAGCCTGAGGCACTTTAGGATTGTGTTGCTGGGAGGGAGTGGCTCAGCGGTTGAGCATCTACCTAGGATCCAGGCCAGCGGGGTTCGAGTCCCTGTCAGTGCACATGCCCAGGTTCCGGGCTCGATCCCCAGTCGGGGGGCGTGCAGGAGGCGGCCGATCAGTGACTCTCTCATCATTGATGTTTCTATCTCTCTCTCTCCCTCTCCCTTCCTCTCTGAAATCAATGAAGATATTTAAAAAAAAAAAAAAAAGGATTGTCTTTCACTTACAAGGGAAGGGGAAGCTGACTCAGAAAAGCCTTAGGATCCTCGGGCAGTAATGAACAGATTAGAATCTGGCCTTGCCCTCCAGGGCCCCTCCATCCTGGATCCCAGACACTGGGCAGACTGAACCTGAGAACACTAATCTGGAAGCCCAAGAAAAGGGAATTCCACTACCACTCTCCTCTCCCCACCCTGCACTGTCAGCCCTATGGGGGATGTCAGAGGGCCCCAGAGACCTGGATCTCAGTCCAGGGTCTCCCTCAACCACCTTGGACAGGGGGTTTCTATGAGCCTGAGAATGTCAGTGCTGACCTGCTTAGTACAGGACAGCTCTCTCCCCACTGGTCCTGAGGGCCAGGACTGAGCATGTGTCCACCCCAGAGCCACATAATGAAGGCCATGGGGGCTGTTTGCCTCATGCACACATCAGCCCTCTCCTCCAAGCCTTTTGGTTCCTGCTTCAAGAGGTGGCGTCAGAACTGTGACACAGACACTTTTGTCATGAGCCCCATGCTCTCATGGCCTCATTTAAACTCCCACCACCCTGGGGCAGCTCATCTTACGAGCCTCTGACAGGTGTCTAGAAGCCACCTGTAAGGGCCACGCCAGGTCCGAATGTCACCCTTGGCTGTCATACCTGGTACATGGGGACTTCTGAGTATTTCAGTTTAGGAATAGCAGCCTAAAGCAAATACTTTCAAAACAGTTTTAGCCTGAACTTTCTCTGCATAACATACAGTCCCTCAACCAATGCATTAGCCAGAGTCGAGAGCAGTGAGGGAAAAATGAGGGTGAGGGTGCTTTTAAGGTCAGTTAATTTCCAAGAGAGATAGGCAGAGCAGTGAGGCTCTAATCCTATCCAGAGCACACTGGGAAGATTTTCCTGTTTTCCTTCTACCTGAACTAGTGGCTCTCATCCCGTTAATTAGCGTGGATTTATCTCTTTGGGGCCTAATCCTCAAATAGTAAAATGACATGTAATTACTCGAGCTGGGGAAAGATGCCACCTGGGGTCCCCCCGCCCAGGTTAGTTCTGTCTGGAAAAGAGAAAGGATGAGCCTTCTTACCTTACCGAAGCCTTCTGAGCAAGTGATGGGTATGCAGGAAAGAGGCCCTTCCCATAGGCCCTGGCCATGCTGGTTAATGTTTAATGACCAGCCCTCCAATAAAAAATGGCCCCCCGTCTGTGCCTCTGCTAATTCCTGGTGTAAATGCTCCCCGGGCAGCTGGTTTCTAGCACATGTGCATGTGTGTGGGGAGCTGGGATGAGAGCCTGGCGCACTCACCTGCGAGCAGAGCGCCTCAGCAGCATAGAGACCTGAGTGCATGGACGAGTTAGAAATAGGGAAGTGGGAAGGGATCCGTGTTGAGTTTTTATTGTCTTTGTTTTAGTATAATTTTCATTCATTGTAAGCTTATGGAGTGGCTGTGTTAACAGCCATCTCTCAAGATCCCTAAACACTTAGTGGCGCTCGTGAGTGTGTGTATATCTCAACCCTCCACCCCTCCCTCAGCACAGGGCTGGGGTCCTACAGGCACCGGGCAGTGCCTGCTGAGTGCATTTGTTGAGCGTGACTGAGCTGCCACCATATCTCCATCTCTGCTCCCATCCAGGTTGGGGGAAACCACCTGTGACTGGTGCAATTTTCAGTTTCGAGGTATGCCGTTACAACAGCTCTTATGTGGTTTCCTGTACCAGCTAGGACCACCTGAGCCAGGCTGCTTGCTGACGCTGGGGCTGTGACATACACCTTTAACCCCCATTTCAGCTGTCAGAATTGTGCCCTCATGGTTTCAGCGTTTGGCTTGACACGCAGATTTGTGCTAACAGGATACCTCACTGACCTGTTAACCCTGTGGGATTCTAGAAGATTCTCTCTGAAAAAAGGGTTTCCCACCTTCAAGAAGTTTATTACACTGTGTATGAACCTGATAAATCATGCTAAATGTTGAGTGGGTGCGAAAAAGTGAATGCAGTCCCCCTCCAAATAGCAGGTTTGTGACCCCACCAGAGGGGCTGGGTTCCTTCTCAGCCTCCCCGTCTCGCGTGCTGACCATCTGTCCGGTGGGACTCACTCACTGCTCTGTCTCCACAGTGCTTCTCACAGCCGTGAACTGTTACAGCGTGAAGGCTGCCACCCGGGTCCAGGATGCTTTCGCTGCTGCCAAACTCCTAGCACTGGCCTTGATCATTCTGCTGGGCTTCATCCAGATCGGGAAGGGTGAGTGCAGCCTCTGGGCCTTCACAGCTGTCCTATGAGGCCCTGCTGTGCCGGGGGGGGTCCCCACTTCTGAATGCTTCCAGCCCCCAGATCCACCAGGTTCTCCAACACATCACTTCACCTGCTCTGCACCCTTACCCTTAATAGGGGGTTCCCTGCTCTGAATGCCCCCAGCCCGCTGGCATGATGGCATGAAGGGTATCATTTGAATTGGGGCACTGTGAGCTGGGTCACACCGTCCCAGGAGGGGCACTGACATTGAGTTAGAGAGACTAAAAATCACCCAACAAGTTAAATCTGTCCCAGAGTGGCAGGGAGAAATGGATTCTCCCTGTCCTCTGAACCCCGCTGTCCTACCACAGTCAGGGTTGGGTAGGATGGCTGACATGGGAGTTCTTAGAGAGAACTTAGCATTGGGCCTGGCACATCGTGAGCATGGCAGAGAGGAACTTGTTTTGTCTGCTGAGACAGATCTTGCACACAGGAAGCTACAGATTGCAGTTGCCCTGCAGGTGAATTGCAGCTGCCTTCCAGGGAATGATGTAGAACAGCCCAGTCCCCAGTAGGGCGCTCATGCCCATGGATGGCCCGACCCACCAGTGTCCACCATGCTGACCCCTCTCCTATGATCAGCACTTTGTTCCATCATCCGTGGGTCGACCACGCCATGGCATTTGGTGGCGGTGCATCCTCTTACTATTGATAGGCCTCGTTCCTTGCAAATGTGCTGTGATTTGCTATCATTCTATGAGCAAGGATGGGGTGGTCCCCCCCCTTTCTGGCCACTATGGAAAATACTGTCAGGAACATTCCTGTAGATGTCTTTTGGTGAACAGAAGTGCTGGTTTCTCCTGGAGTGGGTGGACAGCAGGCCCAGGGTGGGCATTGGCTTAGAGTCCACAGATGAGTGATCCCACAGTGGCTGGTCCAAGGCAGGTTCTGAGAGCCCCTTCAGAGGAGGAGGTCACCATGAAGACACACACATAGCAAGGCCCCCGCAGCCCTATGTATGGAAAGGGCAGGTGGCCACCAGGGCCTCACTTTACATCTGAGTGCTGTTAGAAAACTGGGGCCGCAGAGACCAGCCCTTGTGTCCCCTAGCTCACCAGGGGCACTGCTACCTGATGCAGCTGGACCTGGCATCAGCTCAGAGTTCTGTCACTGGGAGAACCAGAACTTGGGCCACTTCCAAAATCCCGTGTAGGCACAGAGGTTGCACATCCATCTCATGTCAGTTCCCCTCCACTGTGAAGCCTCGTGCAGGCAGTGGCTGCTGTCTTGTCCTAGCCCATCCTCTCTCACACTTTGGAGCTGACTAGCTGTGAATTGTGTGATTGGGAAAACCCCTAAAGGCCCCATACCTGTGTCCTCGAGGCTTCTGCCTGTGATACCCAGAGATCTATCCTTGCAGTTGTGAACTTCCCTGATTCCTCCCACCCCCTGCTGGCCACAGGGGGCACTGCACTGTACAGGAATTGCATCCACAGACCATTAGACTGCAGGGATCATGCTAAGGATTCAGGACAATTGGGTGCACGTGGGGCCGCAGTGGATGCCACATTGCCTGCCCTCACTGGCCCTCTCTCGGGGTAGAGAGAAGCTCACAGTTCTGATGTACGCTGACCTAGTAAAGCGAAAGCAAGAATTCAGATCATTCAGGCAGACCATCTTTATAAAATATGTCAATATACACAAAACCTTTAGCATGGCACCTGGTGCCTAGTAAGAACCAGCTCCCACCTGATTTGCAGTCACTCTCTCTGGAAGGTAGCCTAGGTCGCTGCTTCAGGAGCTGGACCTCTTGGGAGCATGGGTCTGACCAGTGATATCCTGCCCCCCGGGAAGTCCTGAACATTGCCTGTGGGTAAACCCACCAGGCAGGGCTGGGATGAGCCAGAATCTGCCTTTACTCCTGCTGCTGCTGCTTTGAGTGCTTCCACTGTACTTGAGAGCCTTCCTGGGACTTCAGGTTCCAGCATCTTCCTGAAGACAACACCATTTCTTACCCTTTATTTTTCAGGTCTCAGGGACGCTGGTTGGGGCTGGGTAATTTCCTGGCCTCATGGAGAGTGGTTAGGACAGATGGGTGGAAGAAAAAACTCCATCCCACACCCACCACTTTGTCCAGCTAGGAGATGGGTCATTTGATAGAAGCCTTGCTTGTGAAGGCATTTACTTGGCCGGTATTAGATACAGACAGATGAAGAATGTGGGGGGGAACCTGACTTATAAAAACAAATTTCAGTAGGGAGAGCAAAGAGCTTTTGTTCAGCCTGAATACATAATGTGTTTATAATTCTGTTGCTGTTGCAAACATCCATCCCCCCCACCCGCCTGAAGCAGTTCCTTTCTGAACTCGGGATACAGTGCAACGTCGGCAAAATTCCTGTCTCCTGGTTTTCTTTAAGAGATTTGCTTTGTTCCCAGATGAATGCCTTCCTTTCTAGAGGACACATTGTTGAAAATGTTGACCCCTTTCTCCCACAACATTTGTCTGACTCTGTTTCCCCCTTGGGCAGTGTGCCCGATCCCCGTGGATCCCCGTGCTGCTGGAAGGAGGGCTGAATCCTCTGGCAGGGGCTCAGCTCAGTGTGCTCAGATTGGCCACTGGCCATCCTGTGCCTGTAGAATGCGACCTGCTGGCGACCAGCATGAAAGCAGTCTTCTTCTTTGGCCTGCCTGGCACCCAGGTGGGCCCAGGGCTGCAGAAGGGGCTCAGGCACGGGGCCCTGCCGACCCAGGTTCAAGTCCAGCTGGCTGTTTGTTAGCCCCAGGCCTCTGTTGGCTTTGTTGCCTTGTCGCCATAAGACCGGTGAGCAATTCTGCCGTCGTTCTCAGTAGAACCTCCTGAGGCTCCAGGTGCGGCTCTGTGCAGAGACCCAGTGAGGACATGGCCCTGCAGCCCAACACTCACTCTGTGGTTCAGGGACATCAGACACACAAAAACTGGAAAACAGCAGACGGGCTGATAGGGCTCCAGCCTAGACCAGGAAGGCCCTTCTGAGGTGTGGCTGAAGGCACCAAGTGTGACAAAGGGACTGCTCTTCAGGGCCCCAGGGCTGAGATTTGAGTGTGGGAGGAGCTCAGACTACCCTTATGGCTGGGTATGCAGGACCTGGCACCATCTAAGGTGCCTGGATTGACTCCTAGCCTTTTCAGAAGGGGAAACTGAGCTCAGGTGGGCATTTCAGATCCGGGTGGCTGGAGTAGCTATCTCAGGAAGTGTGGGTTGGAGCGGCTTGGCGTGGGGTGTCCACAGAGAGGTGGACAGGGTAGGCAGAGGGCACTTTGTGGCTCAGGACGTACCTGCCAGCCGCCTCCACCTGCTTTTGCTCTTTTTCTTTTGTCTGTCAGCCTCTTACCTACGACACCCTACAAGGTCCACAGCCCCAAGGTCAGGCTGTTCCCAAAGCTGAGCAGTGTTTCTGTGGCTGGAGGGTGAGAGTGGAGTATGCGGAAGGCTCATCCCTCATGCCCAGGTCCTTTCCAGAGGACACACAATGGGACCCTTGTGGTTTTGCTTGGGCTGCGGCATCTGGTGGGAGGACACTTCGTGTCTCCTTGAGCAGTTATACAACAGATTGTGTAGATGTGCAGATAAAAGTTCCCACAAAAACACTTTCTTCCTCTCCCACATTGCATCTGAGCAGGATGCCCTCCGCTGGGAGGTGACAGGAGGAGACGTGTCCCCTACACCAGGGCCTGGCACTCCAGCCTCCACAGCAGCTCACACGAGCTCACCCAGCCGCTAGGACATTGTCCCCAAGCGCCAGGAGACCAGGTGTGGTTCGCACTGGGAAAAGAGGCACTTAGACTCTGAGCTGATTATCTCCCATGTCCATTACTGTCCCAAAGTTACTGGGGGGAATGGAGGGTCAAGAAAACATTGGAGATTCTGCTGGCCAGAAGGAGCAGCCTTGCAGTGGAGAAGGCCCAGGCACGCCTGTGAATTGGACAATATGCTCCCAGCACGCCTGTGAATTGGACAATATGCTCCCAGGGCTAGAGACTGGTGTTTGAGTCATTTTACAGTTTGAATGAGATTCTTAGGTTATTGAATCAGGGCTCAGAAGCAGTGGCCTGTCCAGTCCCCCGTAGCACTGTCAGTGACCCCACATGGCCGGTAATGGTTGGCACCGTGTGCGGGGACATGAGCTCCCTTAGAAGAAGGCCCCCGTCTGTCCTACCCAAGAGCGCAGCGTCGGGCTGCACAGGGGAGGTGGTGGGAAAGGCCCACGCAAACAGGCCAGGTGACCTGGAATGGCTAGGCAGGGGCAGGGAGGAAACACTAGTCTTGGGAGAGGGTCTGGGTCTTGAGAGACCTCTCCCCTTGGGCAGGTCCCTTTGTTTACAGGAGCCTCAGCTTCCTTGTCTGTGAAATGGCCGCACTAGCAACAGCAACCCCAGGGCCATCGGGGCCATCTCTTGGTGTTGTGAGATGTTGCCAGGCATCTCAGGTGGCCAGTGAAAAGGGCTACTCTCCCTCGCAGGGAGAAGATCAGCATATGAAGCGCTCCCAGGTCCCACCTCCCGCTTAGGGAGGACTTGAGGGCACCAGTCACAGAATCCATCTCTGGGATCAAGGTCACTCTGAGACTGCAGGACACTGTAACAGGGATGGGGCAAAGGGCTAGGGTTCTGCTCTCCGAACCAGTCACCTGTGTCCCAGGAGACTGGGATGGGGCCTCAAGGCCCCTCCCCCACTGCAGGCCAGTCTGCCCTTCTTGAAATGCCCACAGTGGCAGTCACACGGCAGATATGGGACCCCCACCCCACCCCTGGCCACTGTGGAAGAACTTGTGGTGAGGGGGAGGGTTGGTTGCTTTTCCTGTGGGTGTTCTTTGATAATTTTTAATTGAGTCCTTTCATGGGGCCTGCACGGCTCCGTGCTAATTCAGCATCCAGTATCATACCAGATTTGCAGTCACATGCTTTGCGTGCTGCCCTCCGGGATGAAATCAAAGGCCTGGAAGTTGGGCTCTTTCCCACTGCCGCCCTCA